CAGCCACCGCACTCCAGTCTGGGCGACAGAGTGAGACTCCAACTCAAAAAAAAAAAATTTGTTGTAGAGATGAGGTTGCATCATATTGCCCAGACTGGTCTGGAATTCCAGGGCACTGGCCTCAGTCTCCTAAAGTGCTGGGATTACAGGCATGTGCCACAGTGCCCAATCAAATTTTCTTTCTTTTTTTTTTTTGCATTGGGGTCTGTTGCACAGGCTAGAGTGCAGTGGGAAGATCAAGGCTCACCACAGACTCGACCTTCTGGGCTCAGGCAATCCTTCTGCCTCAGCCTCTCAAGTAGTTGGGACTATAGGTGTGTGCCACCATGCCCGGCTAATTAAAACAACCAAAATCTACAAGTTTATTTTTAATTTATCAAGTTTTAGAATTATGTAAGAATTCGAGTATAAGGACAAATAATCTTAGAAAATGTAAAGCTGGCCGGGCTTGGTGGCTCAGCCTGTAATCCCAACACTTTGAGAGGCTGAGGCGAGTGGATTGCCTGAGCCCGCGGGTTCGAGATCTGCCTGAGCAACTTGGCGAGACCTCGTCTCTACAATAAATCAAAAAACTAGCCAGGCGTGGTAGCATGCACCTGTAGCTCCCGCTACATGGAAGGCTGAGGCAGAAGGATCGCCGGAGCCCAGTAGGTAGAGGCTGTGGTGGCCGGAAACGTGCTATTGCACTCAAGTCTGGGCGACAGAGTGAGACTCCAACTCAAAAAAAAAAAAAAAAAAAAGAAAAAGAAGAAAATATAAAGCTTTCTAAGGTTAAACCAATTATTTGTACTCACTACCCTTCTCTGCCCTCCAGCTATTCTCTCTTACCTGCTTCAACTACCCTTCCCCTCCTACTAGTTCCTTCACAAAAGTATTTAAATACATTCGAGGATCTAACTTCTATTTATTTATTTTTTTTAGTTGGAGTCTCACTCTGTCACCCAGGCTGCAGTGCTATGGCACATTCATGGTCACACCAGCGTCAACCTGCTGGGCTCCAGCAATTCCTCTGCCTCAGTCTTCCAAGTAACTGGAACTACAGGTGTGTGCTACCATGCCCAGCTAATTTTTGATTTATTGTTGGTTCTCGCCCAAATTGAGCGGGCTGGTCTTGAACCTGCGGGCTCAGGCAATCCACTCGCCTCAGCCTCCCAAAGTGCTAGGCCAACAGGCTGAGCCACCGAGCATGACCTAACTTCTCGAACTACAGTATTGTCGTCTCTCTGACTATACCCTTCCTCATTCCAGAAATTCTCTCCTTCCTTGAATTCTGACTCCAAGAACTCTGAAATTTCCTTTTACCTCTTTGCCAATCTTTTTCACAAACACTTATTTCATCTGCTTCTAAAATACATACTTATGCTCCTCCAAAGAACAATTCCCCAGCATTCTTCTCACTTGCTCTACAGGTATAACCTTAGATTCAACTATCACCTACAGTTTAATTTTTCCCTACATTCCTCTGCTCCCACCCATATACCTAAAAGCCTATGAAATATTTCCACTTGAATGCTCCACAGTTTCCTCAAACTGAAAAGATTTAAAACTATATTCTTATATTACCCCCACAAACTTGCTTTACAGATACTATCGCAGTAAATGGCACTATAATATACACCCAATTTTCCCATGCCAGAAATCTAGTAGTCCTAAATCCCTCTTCTCTCCAAATCTAATCACCAAATTGAATCAAATATACCTACTAAACAAGTCTTAAATCTATTTTCCCATTACACGTCATGTCTGCTTCTCTCCACCCTTCAAATCAACAAAATCCTTCTTGGTAAGCAGGCAGCTAAAATCCAAAATCACAGTATAAAAGACTGTTGCACATTTAAGCTTTAAAAATAATTTTATCTGCTGGGTTTGGTGGCTCAGCCTGTAATCCCACGCTTTGGGAGGCTGAGGTGAGTGGATTGCATGAGTCCGTGGGTTCGAGACCCACCTTGGCAACTTGGCAAGACCTCATCTCTACAATAAATCAAAAAATTAGCCGGGCATGGTAGTGTACACCTGTAGTTCCAGCTACTTGGAAGACTGAGGCGGAAGGATTGCCGGAGCCCAGCAGGTCGAGGCTGCGGTGGCCAGGAACGGCTATGCACTCCAGTCTGGGTGATAGTGAGACTCCAACTCAAAAACAAACAAACAAACAAAACAAAAATTCTATTTTATATTTTTTGAGAAACTACAGGAGTCTTGATTGATAAGGCCCAAGGTCTCCTTCTCAAGGACAGACTGGTTCTGTGATCTCCTTTCTCCTTGACTGAGGCCTTCTTTCTACTATTCTGGCACTGCTACCTGATTCCTTTGAAACTCTTTCCCTTCTTGCCACCTTTGCTTGGCTTCAGAGTACAAGCCTCCTGGTATTCTCAATTCCTTTCCTTCATCATCCCCAACACAAGTAGATACTCTTAAAAAACAAAGTGGAGGGGGGCTTTACAACTAATTATTACTACTATTATTATTTTTTGAGTTGGAGTCTCACTCTGTTGCCCAGACTGGAGTGTAGTGGCCGCTCCTGGCCACCGCAGCCTCGACCTGCTGCGCCCGGCGATCCTTCTGCCTCAGCCTTCCGAGTAGCTGGAACTACAAGGGCGCGCTACCACGCCCGGCTAATTTTTTGATTTATTGTAGAGATGAGAACTCGCCAAGTTGCCCAGGCGGGTCTCGAAGCTGTGGGCTCAGGCAATCCATTTACAACTAATTATTATGGAAGGTAGAAGATAACTAATACAAATACGGAAAACGTAAAGTTCTTATAGGTGTAATTCCAATACTGTAATATGAGAATTACAAAAGAATTCCGAGTGTATCATTTTATTCTAAATTAGTACATGAAAGACTAAGTAATTCTGCCATTATTTTTTCTTTCTTTGTTTTTTTTTGAGTCAGAGTCTCACTCTGTCGCCCAGGCTGGAGTGCAGTAGCCGCTCCTGGCCACCGCAGCCTCGACCTACTGGGTTCTGTGATCCTTCCGCCTCAGCCTTCCAAGGAGCTGGAACTACAGGCGTGCGCTACTACGCCCAGCTAGTTTTTTTTTTTAATTTATTATAGAGATGAGGTCTCACCAAGTTGCCCAGGCGGGTCTTGAACCCGCAGGCTCAGCCAATCCTCTCACTTCGGCTTCCCAAAGTGCTGGGATTACAGGCTGAGCCACCGAGCCTGGCCTATTTATTTCTAAGACTGGTACTCAACACCTCCCTGCATTCCCATCTTTAACTCAGCTTTTGTTGAAAACTCCTATCCCAAGTCAAAAAAAAAAAAAAATTTAAACAAGGCCTGACTGGGTAGTAAAATAAACAGCTCATAAAGTCTTGGTCCCATTTGAGCATTACACATAACTGGCAAGGCAAAACTCACTGAAAATTAACTACTATACTGCCATTAAGTAGAGTTCCTTCACCTCAAAGTAAACATGCTATGCAAATCTAAACATCAATTAAAAACAATACACTAGGAGAGGGGGCGTGGAATTGGCAGTTGAGGGAAACTGCTAGGGGAGGGAGGGGTGTACCTCATCAACAAGGGTACCCGCATAATCAACGTTTGTATACCTAACCCTGAATTGTATTCCACATCTTGATAATAATTTAAAAATAAATACATAAAAACATGCGGGGCTCGGTGGCTCAGCCTGTAATCCCACACCTTTGAGAGGCTGAGGTGAGTGGACTGCCTGAGCCCGTGGGCTCGAGACCTGCCTGGGCAGGCGAGACCTCATCTCTACAATAAATCAAAAAATTAGCCGGGCGTGGTAGCGCACGCCTGTAATTCCGGCTACTCGGAAGGTTGAGGCGGAAGGATCGCCGGAGCCCAGTAGGTCGAGGCTGTGGTGCCCGGGAGCGGCCACTGCACTCCAGTCTGAGCGACGGAGTGAGACTCCAACTCAAAAAAAAAAAGAAAGAAAAAAAAAACAGCAAAATAATGACAAATCCATTACTCCCTTTTTCAATAAGTAATAAATAAATAATAAAGTAAAATAAATAATAAGGTAAAATAATCCTAGTGACTTCCTTTTAATATAATCTTACTCATTTTTCCAAACTAGGGCTAAATCACAGTATGACAGTACATATTAGTAGTTAAAGGATAAATATTGCACCTCTTTCTGCTGGACAATACTACTTGGTAGTAAGTAATTTAAAATATTTTACTCTGCCGGGCTCGGTGGCTCAGTCTGTAAAAAAAAGCAAGTAAAATATACAGCCAAAATGAGATTTCAATAAAATACAAGGCAATTAGAATAACAAAAGTAAAACATCTACATGACAATAAGATTTAGACAAATCACAAATAATCTCGAAGTTAATTTCTATAGAGACCATTTTTTGACTGTTACAGATTGAAGTATAATCTGAGAGATTTGAACAAAAAAACTTTTTTTTTTTTTTTTGAGTTGGAGTCTCACTCTGTCGCCCAGACTGGAGTACAGTGGCCGCTCCCGGCCACCGCAGCCTCGGCCTGCTGGGCTCCGGTGATCCTTCCGCCTCAGCCTTCCGAGTAGCCGGAATCACAGGCGTGCACTACCACTCTCGGCTAATTTTTATTTTATTTTATTGTAGAGATGAGGTCTTGCCTGCCCAGGCGGGTCTCGAACCCGCGGGCTCAGGTAATCCACTCACCTCAGCCTCCCAAAGGGGTGGGATTACAGGCTGAGCCACCAAGCCTCCACCTGCTGGGCTCAGGCGATCCTTCTGCTTCAGCCTTCCAAGTAGCTGGAACTACAGGCATATGCCACCACACCCGGCTAATTTTTTGATTTATTGTACAGACAAGGTCTCGCAACACTGCCCAGGCTGGTCTCAAACCCCCGGGCTCAGCAATCCTCTCGCATCTGCCTCCCAAAGTGCTGAGGCCCAGGCTGGTCTCAAACTCCTGGGCTCAGGCAATCCTCTTGCCTCTCCTCCCAAAGTGCTGGGATTACAGGTGAATTTGAAGAAATTTAGTAGCAAACTGTCATTTTCTGTTTTCAAAATAATAGCCCGATATTAAAAATTTTGAAAAATAGAACTTAAATCCTGTATGGATTGAAGAAATGGTTTTGAAAAAATCACATTATGGATAATGGTTTATAATAAAATTCAAATATTTTCTATTTTCTATGATAACCACATATTTATTATACATGACCCCAAACACAATGTTTAAAATAATATATGAAATTGATTTCAGTCATCTTGGTTAACTTAATAACTTGCTAAATTTCAGTCCTGAAAACCACAGTTTTACAAATTTTTCTACTATGTCATTACAAAGGTAGATTTGTCAAGGCAGGAGCATAGAACATATTTTACTTAACAGTGTGTTAGCTAGATGTATGTATGCGGACCTCCATACACACATATTCTTGCCAAGGACCCCACAAATGCTGGGGGCAGAATGAACCCAGTATCCAACCACAAGTACACGTCAGACCTGGGCAGGTGCACACTGAGAATTAGCGGTGAGGAAGCCTGATTTAATGGCAGTAAGGGCCCTATTAGGGCTAGGTGGTTGGCATGTGCCACACCAAAGACAGGAAAGGCAGGCCTGAGAGTACTAGCAATGACTGACCTGGAAAGGAAGTCAGCGGTGTCCCTGAAGCTGGAATGTAATCAAGGAGGTGGTTTCAGGGTCAGTGAAGGATAGCTGCAGGCACAGGGAGATCTGCAGGACTCAGAGGGGAAAACATTATCTTCCTGGGGCCAGAGGAGAGAGAGAAAGATGTCAAGGAAGTGCTCGGGTGACCTTACCTTTATCTCCCCACTGCACTTGTGCTCATACTGTTTTCCTTCCTGTAAGTAATTTCTGCCTATTCAAATTCTACTCAGTTTGTAAACCAACTCAGCTCCAGATTTTTATCAAATTGGCAAGAATTAAAAATAAAACTAATGTTCGTGACCCGCCTGGGCAGCGAGACCTCATCTCTACAATAAATCAAAAAATCTGCTGGGCGTGGTAGCGCATGCCTGTAATTCTGGCTACTTGGAAGGCTGAGGTGGAAGGATCGCGGGAGCCCAGCAGGTTGAGGCTGTGGTGGCCGGAAGCGGCCACTGCACTCCAGTCTGGGCGACCGAGTGAGACTCCAATTCAAACAAACAAACAAACAAACAAACAAAATAAATAAAAAATAAAACTAATAAAGGTAGACATAACAGAGTAGCCATTAGCATTCTAAATCCAATCATAAAATTAACAGGTTTTACCCTTGAGGGCATTTTCCAGGACAAAGAAGTGGAAAAGGCCGAAGCAGAAGACAAGTTCTGGGCTCTAAAGTAACTGGAACTCAAGAGGCATAATCTGGGAGAGAAGAGAACCACAGAGAAATAAGCCCCCCAAATGTGCAAACAAATCTCCCCCTCCTCCAAGTCACTAGCTGACACCTAGACTGCACATCTACAGAATGAGACTCTCAAAATCTACCAGAAAGCAAAAGCTGGGAGGCCAAAGAGCTAAGAAGAGATTAGAGCAGCTACTCAGACATAAGAGAGTCGAAATTTAAGACCAACAAAGGTAGGGGGCCTTGAAATCATAGATGGAGGCTGGGCGTGCCAGTAATACCAGCACTTTGGGGAGCTGAGGCAAGAGGACTACCTGAACCCGGGGGTTCGAGATCAGCCTGGGCAACTTGGCAAGACCTTGTCTCTACAATAAATCACAAAAATCAGCTGGGCATGGTAGTGCACACCGTAGTTCCAGCTACTGGAAGGCTGAGGCAGAAGGATCACCTGAGCCCAGCAGGTAGAGGCTGTGGTGGCCATGAGCGTGCCACTGCACCCCAGCCTGGGCAACAGAATGAGACTC